AGCTTCTCTTGGAGGACTAACAAGATAAACAATAGAGGAAAGAGGCATGGACTAACAACATTCAAGGGTGCTCAGCATCGCCGATTAACATCTCTAACTAATCAACTCATATGCTGGCTGTAGAATGTAATAATATAAACAAGGCAAGTACTACTACTAAGAAGTCAGAATTGTAACTAAGAAGAATACCTGCATGACCATTTGCAGAAGATGCATGCAAGTAATTGAGCTTGAAATCCACCCACTGTTAGCACATAAATCCACCCACGGTTAATAGATCTAGTCACTCAAGTGTGTGCCTCATTATGAATCCATAAAAATAAAAATAAAAAGCAAGTACCCAAGTAAGATACAACCATAGACTAATTACCTCGTTATGCCGCACAGGAAGTACATTATATTCGGAAGCAGCAGATAGGATATGCAAGACGATCTATAGTACAGAACCTTCTTAACCATAACGGCATAAAAAGTAAAAGCGAGAAATTAAAATGCTGAATAAAAATCTTCAAGAACCATTTCTTACTTCAAGCGATGTATCTGATGATCCTAGGTTCGAACCAAACATTGATACAGTCATGTAGCTAAAATAATACTGGGATGCTATTGAACCCAGCATCGTTGGCTCTACATTGTCTTCATTCATCTTGATGCATCCACTGTCTTCCAGATCCTCAAATGTGTTTTGCACTAACCTGCCAAAATAATCAATAAGTAATCAAAGCAATGCCACCGAAAGAGAAAGCATATCCTTATAAAAGAAAAAACAATATCCATGAGAATTGAGCATGGTATTACCTTGACAAGTAAGAGCTGGGAACTTCTGGTTCAGTATTGTCCAAGCCAATTATAAAATTAAAAATTAAAAAAAATTCGGAGCATAGCCTATTTATGAAAAAAAGGGGACCCGACTATGAGTATTGCCGTATAGCCGTGCGGCTATACTTTATAAATAGAATTTTTTTCTGGCTATACCCATTGAATAGCATAATCTGAATTTCTCTTTTTTAATTACTTTAATTAGTAGTTATGTTTTAATTATTATTTACTTAATGAATAATTAGTATTTAACTATTTTAATATATTTTATTTTTATTCAATAATATGTGAGTATTTTGTGCGTATTATAGAAATTTTTTTACAAAACAAGTGTATTAAATATGAAAAATACATACATATATGTACAATACGAGTGTTAAACGTGAAAATGCTAAATTATTTATATGGATAATAACTTTGGAAAAGTAAAATCCGGCCGGCTATACTCTTTTTATAATTAAAATCCGGCGTATAGCCGCACGGCTATACTATTTATAAAAAAGAATATTAAAAAAATGACCGCTGTGCTGTCCGGCTATACTCATTTGTATTATAAAAACATCCAGCGTATAGCCGCCCGGCTATACTATTTATAAAAGAAAAGAAGAGGACCCGCCTAGCGTGTAGCACATGTTTTTGTGCCGGCTATACTTCTCATAAAAAAGAACTTAAAAAAAAATGACCCCAGTAAAGCCGGCCGGCTATTCTCTTTTTTAATTAAAAAAATCCACAGTATAGCCGGACGGTGATACTATTTATAAAAAGAATTTTAAAAAAGGACCCCAGTAATGCCGAACAGCTATACTCATTTTTATTTAAAAAATCCGACGTATAGCCAGACGGCTATACTATTTATTAAAAAAAACAAAAAACAAAAAACAAAGCAAAACAAAAAGAAGAAGGGGACCCGCCTAGCGCCCAGTGCTTGCTTTTGAGAAAGGCGTATAGCCGAGCGGCTTTACTATATAAATAGATTTTCTTTAGCGTATAGCCGCCCGGCTATACTATTTATAAATAAAGCCTAGCGGCTGTTTTTGTTAACAACTTATAGCTGTGCGGCTATACTGCATAAATAGATTTTTATTAAAACGTATGGGCGACGGGCTATACCCATTGAATAGCATAATCTGTTTTTTTTTTTTTTTTAATATATGAGTATTTTGTGTATAATATGTGAATTTTGTGAGTATTATTGAAAATTTTGTAAAAAAACAAGCGTATTAAATATGAAAAATACTTATGTACATGTATAATACGAGTATTAAACGTGAAAATGCTAAATTCTATATACGGATAATAACTTTGGAAAACCAAAAACTGAAAATGGGACAATAAAGAGTCGTGTAATTGCCTAATAGTAATGGATAATGCTCTAAACTACTCTTGTTGATAAACAAAAATGGGGCAAAACAATTATAAAAAAATAAAAATAATAGAATGTATGTTAAGAGTATAGCCGCACGGCTATAAAAAAGAATTTAAAAGAAATGACCCCCGTAAAGCCGGCCAGCTATAAGATTTTTTATTAAAATAAATCCGGAGTATAACCGAACGGTTATACTATTTATAAATAAATAAAAGGGGACCCGCTTAGCGCCTTGAGTGCTTTTTTGTGAATGGAGTATAGCCGTTCGGCCATACCCTATAAAAAGAATATTTCACAAGTATAGTTGTGGGCCAATACTGTAGAAATAGATTTTTTTAATTACTTTAATTAGTATGATCTGAATTTCTGAATTTCTGAATTTTTGAAGTATAGTTGTGCGGCAATACTGTAGAAATAGATTGTTTATACCCATTGAATAGAATGATCTGAATTTCTCTTTTTTAATTACTTTAATTAGTAGTTATATTTTAATTATTATTTACTTAATGAATAATTACTATTTAACTATTTTAAATTATTTTGTTTTTATTCAATAATATGTGAGTATTTTGTGTATAATATGTGAATTTTGTGTGTATTATAGAAAACTTTGTAAAAAACAAGTGTATTAAATATGAAAAATACGTACATACATGTACAATAAGAGTGTTAAATGTGAAAATGCTAAATTATTTATACGTGTAATAACTCTGGAAAAGTATAAACTCAAAAGGAGACAATAGAGACTCGTGTAATTGCCTAATAGTAATGGATAATGCTCTAAACTACTCTTGTTGATAAACAAAAATCGGGGAAAAATAATTAGAAAAAAAAAATCACAGTATAAACTCTAGAAAAGTATAAACTCAAAAGGAGACAATAGAGACTCGTGTAATTGCCTAATAGTAATGGATAATGCTCTAAACTACTTTTGTTGATAAACAAAAATCGGAGAAAAATAATTAGAAAAAAAAAAATCACAGTATCTATGTTTGTGTATACTCTTTATAAAAAACAATTTTTTAAAAATGACCACAGTATAGCCACCCGGATATACTGTTTATAAAATAAATAAATAAAAAAGACCCCAGTAAGGCCATCCGCTATACTCATTTTTATTAAAAAAATCCAGAATATAGGGTACAGCCGTTCGGATATATGTGTTAATAGATGTTTTTTTAAACGTATAGCCGGCCGGCTCTACTATTTATAAATAAATAAAAAGGGACCCGCCTATCGCCTTTTTTGTGAGCTGAGTATAGCCGTCCGGCTATACCCTATAAATAGAACATTTCACAAGTATAGCCGTCCGGCTGTACTGTATAAATAGATTTTTATAAAAAGTATTGCCATCCAGCTATACTATTTATAAATAAATAAATAAAAAAGGAACTCCCCTAGCGCCTAGCATATGTAATAGATTAGGCTTTGATACTCACATAACTCAACCTAGGGCTTTACGATTAAGGTTTCGATGTCAATCTCGGGTTAGTAATATGTAACCGATTCTATGCCAGGGAAAATTTGCTGGCATGGGTCTATGCCAACAAATATTTGTCGGCATAGGTCTATGCAATGTTTCGTCGGGAGAGAACTATGCTGGCAAAAGTCGTCGGCATAAAGCTATGCCGGCAAAGTTTCGCCCGGACTTGTCTTTTAATTATTTTTGTTACTTTTGTTTTTTTAACAAATTTAGTTTCTTTAGTTTAATATTTGTAATTAATTAATATCTTATCCTTACTTAATTACTTGAATTATTAATTATGTTTTAATTCTTTAATGAACTATTTGTATTTTAATTAATTTCATAAATTACTGGATAAAATGTAATTAATTATTTTAAAAT